TGGAGAGCAAATATTTTGAAAATGATAAGGGCAATGAATGTACAAATGTGCTTTACACAATTGATGTATGTATGGATTGTGATGAGTTGTAGGAGCCCCTAATAAAATGCTTAAAAAAGAAAGAAAGAAAGAAAATCTCTTCTGGAAATGTTACGAGGCCTGTGTGGTGTATGCATGGGCCCACCAGGCTAAAATTTTTAAACATAATCCTTTCCACACATTCTACATGTTTGCACATTAGTTACCTGGGTGTGCTGTTGGTGAAAAATGTACAGGATGCCCTCACCCTTCGTTTTGAACACAGAAGTAGCATCCTATGCACAATGTTTTCCATCCACAGGTGTTAAAAATAATAATGGAGATTTATTTTACTAGCAGCAGGACACAGTGTCCACCTGTGGTAGTTAAAACCTTGACAGGGCACAGAGATAGGTAAAATAATTGATCCAAAGAAAGGGACTAGAAACTGTCTTTATATATGGCAACTTGACATGTGACAGGAATATTGCAAAGCAGAAGGGAACATCCAATAACTGAATCTGGGACCATTGGCCATTCATATTTAAAAGATAGAATTCTATATCTGTGGTATAGGTAATACGAATATGAAATTCCATTGAGTTAAGGACATGAATGTAAAAAAGCGAAACAATGAAACTTTAAAAATAATTGGTACAAGCATAGCTTCATTCTGTCAGAAAAGCAAGGATTTCTTAAAACACAGAAAATTGGCCCATAAGGAGGAAAAGTGTGGAAAGACTTCACAAGATGTAGGGCATTCTATAGTCTTCAGAAGTGTAGAGGAGCAAGTAAAACATGCCATTATTTATTTTTCAAAGGAGTATAGGGATGTCTAATTCTTATGCTAGTGTGGAGTGAAATTTGTAAATAATAGTGATTGCAGTGGGATGAAAGGATATTCCATAAGGAAACTAAGGGGTCTGAGAAGTTTCACTGAATACCTCTATAACAGTCTGGGATTTTTGAACCACATAAATGTAAAAATTCCATTGAAAACATTTGCTTACAAATGTGACCTCATATTTTAAGATTTATTAATGATATGTACAAATACATACAATAGAAACTCATATTGAAAGTCCTTATTTCGCTTTGGTAAAATTGACTCGGAAAGTGAAAATCCAAGGTTGCTCGTGCTTATTTTACAGGGCATGAAAGAACAGAAACTGAGAGGCAAAAAGCAGCGTGACGAAGAGCTGGAGGCAGAAAGACGAATGCTCGATATGGAAGAAGCAGCAGATAAGCAAGGGGAGAGGAAAAAGGCCATTGAAAGAGCAAAGCAATACCAGTTCTACCAGACAGAGAGAGTGAAAACCTTTCACGTACGACTTGAGTTGTATTTTCATGTACAAATTATCATAGCCATGCATGACTAGACTTTATTTTCTTAAACCACTCCTTTATTTTTATTTTAAGTCAGGACTTCTTCTTAGTAGAGTTATGAAAGAACGGGATGCCCAGATTGAATTCCAGAAGAATAAAATAAAATCAGATAAGACATGGGAAGAACAATTGAAACACAACATTGAACAAGCGTTTAAAGAAGAACAAGAGAAAGCAGACAAACGCTACAGAGATAGAGTGGCTCTTGCCAATGATCATCTAAAACAGTATGTATACGTAAATTAGCTTTTTTGTGCTTTCTTCTTTTTTCTCATAATAAATAGAACCTTTCCCCTGATTATAAGAGTAATGCCTGCTAAAATACCTAGTTCATGGAAAAGGTACAAAGAAAATGCTTAAATGTCATGATTAATGCTTTACCCAGATATACATACTGGTTACTGTGGCCGTCATAAGGACTCGGGTGGCACGGTGGGTTAGTGGGTTCAGCAGTTCAAACCACCAGCTGCTCACTGGAGAAGGATGAAGCAATCTGCTTCCATAAGCACTGAAAGCCTCCTGTGGAACAGTTTGAATCCACCCTCTAGGTTCTCTGTGACTTGGAATGGACTCAAGGAAATGGGGGGTGGGGGGATTGCCGCAGTCGTGCTGTGTAATAAACAACCACACGATCTAGTGGCATATGCAATGATAAACATTTCTGTTCTCTGCACCTGTGGATTGGCTGGTGTGGTTGGGCTCTCCTGGACAAATCTTCAGGCTGCAGGACTGGCCGGGCTTCTTGCTGTGGGTGGGGCTGGGGTCTGTTTCATGTATTTTACGGGCTCCTAGATGAAGGGGCTGTAGCCACGTGAACAAAACTCTTCTCACAGTGTTGACAGGTGCGAGAAAGTGAGCTCTGGTGCTTGCGAACACACCCCTAAAGCACTGCCTGAGAATGCCTCTTTCCATAGGTTTATTTCCTTTGGCAGGATTGCGATCCAAGTATAGGGCAGTGCTATTGACTGAGGAAGACCATATTTGACTAATAAGTATCACTTTTGTTTGAGAATCCTCTCTTTTATGGTTGCCTTGAAATTCCAGAGACCATGAAAGGTAGCAGCCCGATCTGCAGCAAGGGACCTGGGAACTGCTGATAACTTCACAGGCATGTAGACTGGGCCAGAGAATCTCCTTTCTGTGTGATCCTTGGAATTTGGTAAAGGCTCAAGAAGGTTTGGAATTTATTTCTTAGTTTTTCTTTGGCTTATTTTCCATCTAGTTCAGGAGGTATTCATCAAGCTCTGAGGTCAGTTTAAATACTTCATTCCTTCCTTCGAGTAGGCTCTATCCTTGTATGTGGTGGTTGATGCTCTCCCCGCCTGTGGTGGATAGGCAGTGTTACTTATCATCATGGTGCTTTCAGTGGCCACATTCTCCCTCGTAATTTCTTGAGAATTCAAGGATGACCGTTCTGTAGGCCCTAGTAAGCCCACTGCTCAGTTCCAACATAGCAGCCTTACCAGACAGAGTAGAACTGCCCGTTGGGTTTCTGTGACTTTAAATCTTTGTGGGAGCAGACAGTCTCATTCCCCCCCACCATGGACTGATGGATTTGAACTTCTGACCTTTCTGCAGAATTTTCCTCTGTGCATCAATTGCATTGTGGGAAATTGGAAGAGAAAGAATGTTTGACAAGTGAGCTTGGGCTGCCAATTTGGTTCCAGAATTGGAACATCTGAAATTTAGTAAATATAAATATATTTTATAAATAAATAGTTTGAAGTACATGAATTTACACATTTGTCACCAAGTTGTGTTATGTGAAGTGTTAATTCTTATTTCAGTTTTATGGAAATAAAAATTCATGTTACTGTAGCATTAAAATTAAAATGGTAATGAGCCCATAAAATGCTTCTCGAAGCCAGCAATGGAGCTGGAATAATGGCACTAGGATTGACTTGGGAACAAAAGACCATGTGGCAGAAGAGAGAAATAAGCGACTTCTCCTCTTTTTGAAGAGTGAGAGATTATTGTTGCTGTTAAGTGCCTTCGAGTTGGCGCCTGCTCCTAGCAGCGCTGTGTACAGCAGAGCCGGACACTGCTTGGGCCGCACCAGCCCCGGTTGTTAGCTGCAGCCCAGTGTTGCAGCCCTCTGGCAGTCCATCTTTGGAAGGTCTTCCTCTCCGACTCTCTGCTGATGCCCTTCTCCAGGGACTGGTTTCTCCTGGATAACTTGTCCAAAGCACATCAGAGGGGATGGATTCTCACCATTTTCACTTTTAAGTAGCATTCTGGCTGTACATCTTCCAAGACTGATTTATTTGTTGCTCTAGCACTTTCAGTCGTCTACATCAAAACCATAATTCAAGTGCATCAATTCTTCTGTGGTCTTTGGTGGGAAACTGAGGAATGGGAAGAGAGTGTATGCGGATGAATTCTTTATTCTCATATTTTAAGAAGCCTGGCAAGCCAGGATTCTGGGGTAAAGGGAAGCCTTGACACTTATGAGTTAAAGATGAGTCCCAGTCACATTGTCGTAAGTATTATTGTTCCCCACTATATCCTCCCATAACAGTGTCACCTTAAAGTTACCTCTTACATTTGAGAATGATGAGGTCAACAAATGTATAAATGTGCTTGACACAATGGATGTATGTAAGGATTGTGATAAAAATTGTATGTGCCCCCAATGAAAGTATTTTTTTTAAAAAGTTACCTCTTAACAAGCACATGGCTGACTACGATCTAGCAAGCAGCTTTATCTATAGACATAGATATGTTGGGATTGTTCTCCAGTCTCAGGGACAGTCACTCCCCCTTACCTGCACCCAGTACTGTTGTTATTGGTGTTGGTTGCTCTAACATGGGCTCTGCTAGACAAATCTTAAGCTGCAGGACTGGGTGGGCTTGCTCCTCCATTGAACTCAGAGATCTCTAGGGTTAAGGGTATAGACCACTTTGTTATGTATGTAGTTACCTGTAATTAGAGGGGCTTGCATTCCCCAAGAATATATAAGAATATGATGAGAATATAATCTTTCTGCGCAGACCTGACTCTCAAAGTCATGGCAGAGGGTGAGCTCTTGCATGCTTTGTCTTGTCTGATGTATTTTTAATTTACTCCTCAATTATACAACCACCCCCTTGAATTGACTCAGTTCTGGAGGCTGGTACCCCACAGCCTTTCTTAGTCATTGTTCAGCTTCCACATGTATATGAGGCAATTGAAAACACCATATGTCTTGGGTCAGGGACTCCTTAGACCTCAAAGTGACAGCTTTGCTCTTCGGTACTTTCCACAAATCTTGTGCAGCAGATTTGCCCAATCCATCATTTTTAAACTGCTGCTTCCATGAGAATTGGTTGTAGATCTAAGTAAAATGAAGTCCTTGAAAACTTCAATCTGTTTATCATGATGATGTCTGTTGGCCTAATTATGAGGATGTGTTTTTCTTTATGCCGAGGTGTCATTCATAATGAAGGCTGCAGGCTTTGACCTTCATCAGTAAATACTTCAGACTGTCTTGGCTTTCAACAAGCAGGGCTTGTGTTATTTGTATGTAGCACGTTGTCAACAAGCCTTCCTCTACACCCAATGCAGCATTCTTCTTCATATAGTCCAACCTCTCGGATTACTTGTTCAGCATACAGACTGAGTAAATACGATGAAAGGCTACAACTCTGAAGCAAACCCTCCCTGAGTTTAAACCATGCAGTGCCCCCTTGTTCTGTTTGAATAATTGCCTCGTGGTCTGTGGACATGATCCACATGAGCACAATGAAGTGTTCTGGAAACCTTTTTTTTTGCAGTGTTATCCATAATTTGTTATGATCCACAGTCGAATGCCTTTGCAGAGTCAATAAACCACAAGTGTCCTTCTGATAGTGACTTCTCTCAGCAAACTCCATTTGATATCAGCAATCCCTCATACATGCCCTTTTCTGCAACTGGCTGCTTGCATTTCTGGCAGCTTCCCATCAGTTTTTGAATTATCTTCAGCAAAAGTTTACTTGCTTTAATACTAATGATATTATTCAACAGTTTCCATATTCTGTTATATCCTCTTCTTTAGAATGGATGAAAATGTGGACCTCTTCCAGTTCGTTGGCCAGGTAACTATCTTTCAAATTTCTTAGTGTCGAAGAGTGAAGGCTTCTAGCGCTGCATCAGGTTTTTGAAACATTTCAGTCGATATTCTGTCAATTCTTGGAGCTTTATTGATTAAGCCTTCAGTGCACCTTGGTCTTCTTTCTTCGTGTGGTAGTTATATAATCTGGTATCAATGTGGGATTTGAGAGGATTAAGAGTGAAGGGGTGGAGTCTAGTCTGTCAATCAGATATAGCCATTGAAGCCTCTGTGTTGGCATGGCTTTCTCCTGAGAATTCTGGGAACACCTGTATTTTCTTCCTTGGACGTGGGAGACATTTTCTCTCTCTGCCCACTCCTATGGAGATTCTCTACTGACAAGACACATGACACTACACTGATAGACCCCGTGCCCTGGGAACTGGAGAAGCCACGTGGAGACCCCTGCCAGGGCTGAGAGCCTTCTACCACCATTGACTTTGCACCCACTGGCCTGTGATCGTCCTGCATTCAGCATCAGTGCATGTGTTTCGTCAGTCCGAAGAGGACTTTACAGATCAGTATTGGGCATATGGGTTAACATTGGATTTATGGGACTGGACTGGGTTGGGTTGGGATGCTTTCTTAATGTACAATTACCCTTTCTGTACAACTCTCTCTTATACATGAATAAGTTTCTATGGATTTGTTTCTCTAGTCTACCTGGACTAACACACTTCGATACCATCATTTCTTGATCATATACTACCTCTTGAAATGGTTAAATGTCAACTAGCTATTTGTGGTACAGTGACTCCATGTATTCCTTCAATGATTCCTTTATCATTCAATTTTTTGCCTATACAATTCTTCAGTATTTCAACTTGAGGCCTGAGTTCTTTTTCTCTTCTTCTTCACTTCACTGTACTTGAATATGCTCATCCTGTTCATACTTTTTTGTTTTCTTTTTCTTTTTTTTATTTTACTTTTTGGTTTTCTAACTACAGCATTTTGCACATTTCATTATAATGCTTTACTTTGTTTTCTTGAACTGCCTTTTGAAATTTTCCATTTAAATAATTTATTTCAGCATTGCTTCCATTTGCCTTAAACTGATCAAGAGCAAGTTTCTGGCATCTACTTTGGTTTTTTCCTTTCTTTGACCTTTTCTTCCCTGGTGGTGCAATATGTTACGTGTTGGGTTGCTGACTGCAAGA